CAATTTTCTCTGAAAAAATGGCATCGCTAGAACACATCAGAACGCTTTAAAGGTAGTGCAAAATGCGATGGAAAATTTGGAGCTATGCGATGTTTGGAGAATTTTTAATCCAAATGGCAAGAGGATTATCTGGAGGCAAAGACAACTAGATATTCATTGCAGACTTGATTTTGTTTTAGTAAGTCAAACTACAGTACTTACCCGCTTATGAGAATCTGAGTTCTCAGTTCTAAATGTACTCGTAGGGTGTACTCATGTGAATTCTAATTCAAAACCAACATGTACATACTATTGTTTTTCATGCATTATTTATACCAAAATTAGAGATTTTTATAGTTCATACATGTTTAAGTTCACTACTTTTGAGAGTCATGTCTTTTATCTTTGCCTGATGATCTTTAAGGTTTATTTTCTAAAACAGGAACCTGTTTCAAATTTAGGCTAAATAGATTCTTATGTAAAGGGGGTCTAAATTGATATTTTTAGGCTAACAGGTTCGTGAATTCTAGGTTCTTATATGCGGATTAGTACTGTATTTCCGATAGGTGGGTGCCGTGGAGTTCCCTATTTAAGGATAAAAAAAATTGATACCGTTGTTAAGGCCCAAACCCCCAAAAAGACGCCCTATTCTAGGTAAAATAACAATAATGAAAAAACAAACAAACAACGGCTGACCTCGCACTGCAAAAAGAAGTCTTTATAAAATCGCTTTGCTTATGAGTTTAACCGCCTAGTTCAGTTTCAAAAGATCATTTGCTTTTCGTTTAGCTGGGCAGTTACATACTGCAATTTTAGCTGATACAATTTAGGTGGATCCCATTACCGACATAAACTGGACAGTTAATATCGGTAACGTTGTACAAGCAATATAACGTTAAGGACCTGTTAGAGCTATAAGAGCTAAGGAATAATAATCATTTTAGGTATGTTGGATTAAGGGCAGCATGACATCAGGGATAAAGCATAAGCCGGGTAGTTTTAGGAATAATGGAAATACGTTAAGGTACAACATTAATTACACAAGAGCGACCAACTTTACAATGTATTTTTCCATTACCAAATCGGAACATATATCGAAAAAACCTCGCACCCTTTCTTAGCCTATTTTCTTCTGAGCGATATGGTCGGTAAGTGAACCTATACTTGGCCGATACTTGACCGATACTTGGCCGATACTTGATCGACACTTGACCAATACTTGACCGCTACTTGACCGCTACTTGACCGCTACTTGACCGCTACTTGACCGATACTTGACCGATACTTGACCGATACTTGACCGATACTTGACCGCTACTTGACCGATACTTGACCGATACTTGACCGATACTTGACCGATACTTGACCGATGCTTGACCGATGCTTGACCGATACTTGACCGATACTTGACCGATACTTGACCGATACTTGACCGATACTTGACCGATACTTGACCGATACTTGACCGATACTTGACCGATACTTGTATACTTATTCGTGGGAGAAAGAGTGCAAGAAATTTGAGAAGATGATCCTTGAGTTAGTGAAAATCACTGATCAAAATGAAATTCCCTTAAATCTTAGTTTGACAGGTATGCATTTTTTTCCTAATGTTGTTTTTGCATAGTTTACCTCAAAATGCTTCAATACTAAGAAATTTACTTCCAACTGGAAAGTCTGTGAATAGGCTCAGATGTAAGTTCAAGTAATGAAGTCAATTTGACCCTAATTGCTCAGATTCCCCTATGAATAAATCAAATTTTCTCATAAGTGGAAATTGTTTGTGTATTGGATAACCTTCCATTATGAGCATCAACTGGTGAGATAATTTGTCTGATCTGCGCATATAAAATTCACAGTTCCCAGAAAATGGAAGCCTTTTCAGTTTCCAAGTTTTCATCATTGTTAAAAATGTTTCATTCTAAACATTAAGTTGAATTCAACCTACTAAGTAATGTTTATAATTACAAAAACCCTTTGTGTATGTGTAGTAAAACCACTGTGTTGATTAATGTGTTGCCCTCAAAAGTGAAGATTTACATTGTATATTCACTGATTCCTCTGTGGACGTGAGTTTTTACTGGGATCTCTGTATCTCTGTGGACATAATCTGATCATGATGCAGGAATATTCAATTATTAGACAACACAACTCTGAAGGATGCTCTGAAAGCAGTTCTCAAAGTAGATGACGTACAATCTCCCAAAAGTGAAGACGGGGAGCTGTTAAACGCGGGTGTGCAATTTGTGCCATAAGAATGTTTTCAAGGGGTAAGAATGGGGCCAGGCAGTAATTACAGGCGACAAATGGTAAGAAACACTAATATCAATGAATTTGGGGCATGAAAAAAATTTGAAGTAAAACTATCAAATGACTTAAATTGACAATCTATGTTCTTAAGTGCGTGATCAGTTTAAGATTTTGCTTAAGTAATGGTGTTGCCAAAAGATTCATTTTGACCAAATTAAGTTTTCGTCAAAATGACATGATGTTAAAACATAATGGAATTCATTCCACTGTATTAATAATTTAATTTATATGGCTATATGTTTTTTTCCGTTGCTTGAATTTTCTATTTTTCAAATGCCTCTTGATTTTTTTTCGTGAAAGCTTCTTTATTGGTTGTGACCGCATGAGTATGAATCTTATTTCCATCTTGAATAGATCCAAACATTTTAAATGACATTTAAGGAACTTCAGATAAAAAAGCAAAACAAATAAACAGCAGCCGCCAACGTGTAAAACAAGCAGGTATGTCCATCAACGTCATGTTTTTGCACTATATAAAAATGAAAAATTGGTATCACTTTTCATATAACGTGATGAAATCAATACTATAAATCTATTTGGCAAATGTTTACAATGCAAAAATAGCAGAAGTTTGAAAGGGATTACAGAGTTTGAATAATTGAGCATGAGTACTCATTTTTAGGAGAATTTGGAATATATACTAGCATATAATTGGCCTTCTTCGTTTGGTGAAGAGACTATAACTATTCAGTTCTACACACTCGAGAAAGCCTGTCATTTTAAATTACCTCAAGAAAATTTGCCAACATGACGTTTGCGTTGAAACAATCCGTTAAGTTATTCCCAGTGTTTTTCCCGATTCTCTAGGGAGGGAAAAGCCCTGGGTAAGAAGCTGAAAAACCTCGTATTCAAACCATTCACGATTGGCATCTGACAAAACATCAAGAGACAACTCAGCTTCACTGAGCATGTGTGAAGGAGCACTTGTCTGACTCTTTCTTAGTTAGACTTGGCTCCTTTACTAAGAAGAAAACTCACTGTCTTGGTAAGTGCAAGGCGCCGTGTCATCATAAGGGGGTTTCACCATCCTTGGTTTTGGATTCAATGTCAACTCACTGAGAAAGTACTGTGTCAATAATGCCTTTGTTGCCCTTAAATGTAGCTTGAGGTAACAAATTCCTTCCTCAGTCGTCTCATTTTACCGCCTGTACTTTGCCATATTCAGCAGCAATCATTTGCAACGTCCTGCCCTGGACATTTCTTTAGTCAAGATCACTCATGTGACTGACCAGTTGCTCAATGACATCAACATGACCACGTAGTGAGGCGAAATGTAACGAATTCCATCCAGTCCTGTGTCGTAAAGCCAGATCAGTTCCTTTACTGATCAGACACTTCACCGCCTGTACTTTGCCATATTCAGCAGCAATCATTAGCGGCGTCCAACCCCAGGCATCTTCCGAGTCAATATCTTTCATGTGACTGACCAGCAGCTCAATGACATCAACGTGACCATACCGTGAGGCTATATGTAACGAATTCCATCCAGTCCTGTGTCGTAAGGCCGGATTAGCTCCTTTCATGATCAAACACCTTACCACCTGCACCTTTCCATTTTCAGCAGCAAGCATTAGCGGCGTCCTACCAGTGGCAGTTCTTGGGTCAATATCAGTCATATGACTGACCAGTAGCTGGATGACAACAACGTCACCACATAGTGAGGCCCAATGTAACGAATTCCTGCCATTGTTGTCTCGCAGACCCAGATCAGCTCCTCTACTGATCAGATACTTCACCGCTTGTACCTTTCCATTTCCAGCAGCAATCATTACCGGCGTCCAGCCTTGCGAATCTCGCGAATTAATACAAATTCCACCAGAGAGCAAGGATTCAATTTCAGCGACATCATCTTCACTTGCGGCAGAGAAAAGCAGAACAACACTTTCCTCCATGTCTTGGTTCACATAAGCGTCACCCACGATAGAGTTGTTAGAGAGAAGGAAAATGAGAGACAAACATTACTTAAGGAAGGTGAGATTGAAGGATTGTGGGAGTATTTCAGTTACTGTAAACACGGTTGCATTGTCTCTGACAAAAAGAACTAATTGATTCCCCCATTTTAACCTTAAAAAGGTTAGTTTTTAGTCTTAAAAAAGACAAAAAAAATTGGGTCTTGACTCGGAAGATGCCTGGGGTTGGACGCCGCTAATGATTGCTGCTGAATATGGCAAAGTACAGGCGGTGAAGTGTCTGATCAGTAAAGGAACTGATCTGGCTTTACGACACAGGACTGGATGGAATTCGTTACATTTCGCCTCACTACGTGGTCATGTTGATGTCATTGAGCAACTGGTCAGTCACATGAGTGATCTTGACTAAAGAAATGTCCAGGGTAGGACGTTGCAAATGATTGCTGCTGAATATGGCAAAGTACAGGCGGTACAATGAGACGACTGAGGAAGGAGTGAGTTGACATTGAATCCAAAACCAAGGATGGTGAAACCCCCTTATGATGACACGGCACCTTGCACTTACTAAGACAGTGAGTTTTCTTCTTAGTAAAGGAGCCAAGTCTAACTAAGAAAGAGTCAGACAAGTGCTCCTTCACGCATGCTCAGTGAAGCTGAGTTGTCTCTTGATGTTTTGTCAGATGCCAATCGTGAATGGTTTGAATACGAGGTTTTTCAGCTTCTTACCCAGGGCTTTTCCCTCCCTAGAGAATCGGGAAAAACACTGGGAATAACTTAACGGATTGTTTCAACGCAAACGTCATGTTGGCAAATTTTCTTGAGGTAATTTAAAATGACAGGCTTTGTCGAGTGTGTAGAACTGAATAGTTATAGTCTCTTCACCAAACGAAGAAGGCCAATTGTATGCTAGTATATATTCCAAATTCTCCTGAAAATGAGTACTCATGCTCAATTATTCAAACTCTGTAATCCCTTTCAAACTTCTGCTATTTTTGCATTGTAAACATTTGCCAAAGTTCTGTTTTCAGCCGTCTACTCTACGCCTTTCACCTGGGTTTCAGAATTTATCCAAATACAGTAAGATCCTTTTTTGTAGAAACCCTATTTTTCGTCATCAAAGTAAAATATTTGAGTGGGAGAGAAACTGAGATCAGAGAATAAGTTTTAAATTATATTTGATCAGTTTGGAATGTCTGAGGAGATATTTCTGTTACAAGATATATAGTGCACTTTGATATTCTCACGTTATTTTCGTAATGGAGGAAAGGATATGCAACTATTTTTATGGATATTTCGCAAAATTAAGTTTAGGTTTAAAAAATCAGAAAGTAGTTACGTCTATAAACAAAGTTAATGTCTGCACGTTATGTATTTTTGACAGTTTTTACTCGATTCAGTATTTTTCTAAATAACTTTTGACTATGTAATGAGAGGGGAGAATATCTCAATAGTTGAATGTAACGAAAACTATAATTAACATTACCACACTCAACATTTTTATGTAGAAAAGGAGGTAAACGGGACTGAGAAAAGCCATCACACCAGGAGCCCATTACATGGGCTTCTGATCACACGTTGAATTCGACGTGTCCCAAAGCTGTATTTCATGTGATAAGGCTTTTGAAAGTCAAGTTTGGCCAGTGGAAATTGTAGATCATAATGGTTGTGAAACAGTTATAGCTAACTAAAGTTTTGTATTGGTAGAACGATATCTGTGACTCTCTGGTTTTTAAATTTTTTAGAGAAAATGTTCTTAGAGTTAATTTTCTTAGGGTTCTAAGGAAAGTCCTTTTGCTCGTACTCAGACCTTTCACGGCCAAGCAGTTGTAACATTTCAGTTACAGTCACAAGATAGGGTTTGGGTACGAGATCATGAAATTCTGGTCTATAAAATGACAGGATGTTTGGTTTGCTTGTGTTTGGCAGCTAGGGAGGGATGGTTAGGCAATGTTCCATTATTTTCCACTACGCCCGCTTATCGAAGTTGAAGATTCCGTACAGCTAGGCAGCGAGTGGTGTTAAAATTATTTTTGAGTTTCGCGAAAGTTTTTTATTAAAAAGCTTAGCACACATATCATCATTTGGGCCAACTTTATGAAGTGAAAAGGGCTAGAAAAACCTCATGGCCCTGGATGTGGTCTCTGTCTATTTTCAGGGACCTGTTGTTCAAAATGTCATCATTCAGGGAAAGTTATTTTTCACTTATGCAAAATTCATCTTTATTGAAAGATGAATCTTGTCGACAAAACCAAAAGCAGATTTTCAGTATTGATTATAAATAAATTTTGCTTCTGTTTTACTCTGGAGCTTTTTAGCCCTCCAATATCCTTATCTGACAGGTAATCTACTCGGTGGGCATCTCTAACCTGATGCAAAATAAATTTTCATTAATATTCTGTCTTAAGGGAACACTAGTCTTCACAATGGACGTCAAGGAGGTTCCCAAAAGTAAATATTTACCACAATCAATTGATGCAATTCTGGAGACTTTTGCTATCATATATGATGGTTTAACTCGAACATTTCTGAGGGAAATTCCCTCCAACAAATTTTACCCTTGTGCTAATGTTTCCCATGTTTTTGAGGCTTTTCATCCTGCGCAGATTCGAACATTTGCAATAAGACAGCGAGTGCAAGCAGCTGGTATGAGAACTGGTATGTTAGTTTACTAAACATGTTGACTTTGTAGAAGTGTCCACTATTTACGCCACCAAAATATGAGATGTGTATCTCATCCTCAACAGGTTGAGGTAGTACGCATAAAGTGGCAGTAGACACAAGTGGAATCATCCAAGGAGTGCAAGCAGCAAGTATGTACATCGGCCTGTTTTTGCAGTATGATCAACTGAACCAAAAATGTTGTTTACCTATATAACCTTGTATACTAGACGAGCTAATAGTACATTTCATCCACGGTGATTGGCTAGTTCAGAGGTGAATAGGAAGTACTGTTCACCCACGTGCAGCCAAAGACCTGAACTGACCCTGCCATAAATGCGAGCAGGAAAAATGGAAACGACGTTCCATGTTTCCTGAACCTATATTTGAGATTCGGTAGAGATATTAGAGAGATATTAAGCTGAGAATGATAACTGTGAAATAATCAACGCCAAAAGTAGGATTGTTGTTCTTTCAAATTTATTTGACTTTTGCTTTTTTGGACTGTGACAGGGGTGCATATTAAGTTTTTTCCCTTTGTTTTTGTAACAACTGTTTTTCTTTCGTTTAATTTACATATTAGTTTTAATAAAGATTTTTTCTTTGTGTAATAACCTCGTTGAATAAGTAGAATGCAGTTTTTGAATCATTCCAGTGTCTTAAAAATTCTAGAAACGCAAATTTCAATTCGCAAACTAACGACCAGAGCTTATCCTTCGAGAAAGCTTACTTAATTCCATCGCGTGTTAATTAAGGTGGCAAAGTCCAGAGAGGCAACAACCAATCAAGGAGCCGTCTTTTAAATACCATCCTTTTCTCTTTTTCAATGTATTTCACTTATTCGAGATCGCAATATATCTTTGGTTAGAGTCTATTGGAGATACGAAAGAATTTCACTTTGCTTTCGTTGTGAAATTATGTGAAATTATATTTTTGAGGCAACTTACTATGGAAGAAAAATGTTGATTTTCTCTCTGTTTGAAGAACTGCAGTAAGCGTAGTCTCTTTCTCAACCATTATTTGGTCTCGTCACGCAACGCACTCTCTCTCTCTGACGAGGAATGGAGGGCGTTGTGTGAACACAGAGTGTCCCATGTCAACCATCCCAGCCAAAATAATAACTCTTGCATGCTACATATATCTGTGTTTCTCTTTTTGGCAGGCAGAACAACAGTTAAATTCCAACACAGTAATGACTACTTTTTAAACAAGAAAATGTATCTACGCCTTCTGGTGACATATGGGAACTGAGTTAACCCTTATTAACCTCGCTATTGAGTACTGGTTGCTTTGTCGATCAAAATGTCCACCATCGAATAAGACGGAGGATAGTCATTTTGTTATGTTCACTGCACATTGAAATTAGCCCCTACAACTTCACAGTTCAAACGATCGCATATTAAAATAGAATAAAATAAACATAAAATTGATTCCACCTATGCGAAGAACAAATAAGTCTGTAAGTCTCTTGTATTTGCTTTATAAAACGAAAATTGGAATATATCTTAACTGACATGAGTCATTAGCTTTTCACAAAAGATAACGCAATTCACATCATCACGCGTTCTTATCTAACAAAGCTATTGAACTGACGATTCTTTTCAATTGGTATTCACCATCACTTTATTCAGACGAAAAGATAAATCAACTACATGAAAATAACTTATAATTGAAAGTTTCATTACTTTGTTGCTCGTATTAGTGATAATAACAGAACCATCTGTAAGTTTGCTCTCATCACAAGGCTAAAAGTAAGACGCGTATATCGTGAAAACGTTCACTGAGATTGTTTCAAACATATTTTCATTTATGCAAAGGTAAGTGTAAACTTAATCCTGACTGTCAGAGGGTTTATATAAATTACGTCGTGAGTATCACAAACGTCAGCAAAGATTGTCTTTACCACGCCTAAGCACTTCTGGTACCGTTAAGTTTATTAAAAACAATAACAATAATAATAATAATAATAATAATGATAATAAAACAAAACAACACAAAAAGACAAAACAAAAAGAAACTTTCCCTTGGAAATCATATGAGCTGCTCTCAAAATTGCTCTATTATCACTACGAAACACGCCCCGTTCGCCATTGTTGAACTGCTTGTATATGAAAGTCCCCTCGTATTCACCCCTTGGCTCCCCTTTTCCCCATTTGCAAATAGTCAGCGGTCTTCCACTCACCCAGGTCCAGTTCCCGGCCTTTTTTTGTCAAACCAATACTCCATCTATTGTCATAATTTGTAGTATTTCGCCTTTGAATCTCATAATTGATGAAATTCCATTCCTCCTCGGTTTCAATGGAAACTAGGTCCCCTCCCAGCCTTTGTTCCAGAGCCAGGACCATCCATATACCGAAAATACGTACCAGGAGTTTTTAAAAGTAATATTTGGGCATTCTACAAAATGATACAAAAATAGTAATTATCACAACGATGATAAACAAACAGATGATGATGATAATTTTGATAATATAAAAAAATTATAATCACAATCACAGTGAAAGAGAAAAATAAATGAGATAGGAAACGTAACTTCCTCTCTATTTGATGACTTTTTTAATATTATGTTTGATCAGTGTCAATTAATGGAATACATCGTTCTTCACTATGGCGTCCGCCATCTCTGATCTGCTTTTCTTAATTAGTTAACTTCACATGAGCTAAGATTATCTATGAGTTCATGTAATTTTGGTAGTTGAGTTTTTGAATAATAAATTAGTTCCTCGCTGAGCTGGCACACCTTCCCCATCCCTTTCCCTAATAATAATAATAATAATAATAGTAATAATAATAATAATAGGAATTACACCTTTAGCCAGGGTAAACCCGCCAGCAATTGCTGATATCAAAAGGTGCCCAATTCCTCCCCTCCCATCTAATCAGACTTAAAAAAACGTAAAATTAAATGTGAATGTAAGTTCTCATAAAATTAATGTGCAACTGGAGACACGCAATTAACCGTATATAGTTGTTACGGGAAAGGTGGTTGTAAAAAAGAGCAAAAATTTTAAAGCACACGCTACAATCTCAAAAGATTATCTGGGTAATGGTACTCGATATGGACATAAAAATTAAAAATAAACTAATTAGGGTTGACTGGTTTTTTCTTTTCGATTTCCACGCAGTTTAGATTGTTATAGTCAACCTTGTAAATTAAATAGGTTGATCAAACCTGTGATGCCTCCTCCTTAAAGTGACATTTTCCTAGATTTCCCTGAATTCCTGAGGTCAAGTCTAACCATGACCTAAAGGCTACCGGTAATACCTTTCGGGGTTATCGCTTGCACTTCCGACACGCTTTTTCTGACAACTTTTGTCGAAAGAACTGTATTTATTATTTGGTTTGGGCAAGGTATCGCTCGCAAAAGTCTCCGACTACATCCCTAGCTTCGTTGCCAGTTTTTTTTTTAAATAAATACACTTCGTTTTGCCGGCTGGGCGGTATTTTTAAGCAAATAATTTAAAAGAAAATCAAGTCGATTGATAACTTATCAATCCTCAGTTTCTCTATCTCAAATCACTTTGGTTGCACGCTTAAACATTGGTTTTGAAATGAATTTTGGTAGCAAATATGCCATTAAATGGGTTTACACCACAACATAAAAGAGAAATTAAAATTAAAAGAGAAATATGTTTTAATTGTCCATGACGTCCAACTTGGCTAGCAGTCAGCAGTCATCTACGCTGAGTGTTAATAAGTGAACAATAATTTGAAAGCTAAAACGGTTTGGGTTCCGCCTCATCCGAAGGTTCTCGGTGAACCTTTAGGCTGGAACTCATCGCACATGACCCTGGAATGGGGAACACCAGGCGTTGAGTAACATCATCGCCAGTGATACTCGTAGAATTAGAGAATCGTAGTCTATTAAGCATGACTAATAAGGGGACTTCATTGAAAGCCAACGACAAAAATTTTTAAATTAAACTTACATGGCGTTTTAACTTGCGATGAGAAAGGAAATAGTACACCAATTCAACCATTTTTTTCCCCAAATCCAGGATCGAATGTTAAGCTTCGTATCCGTCTAACTTAATGCCGTTTTAAGTAGACCCTGATGATAAAGTTCGATTTCTTGTCTAAGCACGTCGAACGTTCAGCAGCTATCTGAAGAGGAGACGTGTTTTCCCTTTTGACATCTTGTCATAGTGGCATAAAACGATAGCTATTAAGCTATCATAAATATGGCTGCCAAAGCTGTTGTGTAGACAACACGACGCAAACAACGTGACCACCGCATGAACGTCTTGCTTGTGCTATTTGCTTTCTGATTTATTCGCCCGGTATGAAGGGCTTCAGGAATCCAATTTATAAGAGATCCTTCTCTAATTAAAAAAAAAATTCTGGTGGCGGTTATTTGGCACTCTTAATTAAAACAATACACCAGACTCTGAAGATGTCTACATAGAAACCTCTAGTTTATAATTAGAGAAGGATCTCTCAGCTTTTTCCTTTTAAATTGTATACTCTGTGTAAAAGTTCTTTAGTCGTTGTTTAATGATGTGTGCCAAATAGTTTATAATCTCTTAGTTTATGCCATTTCCGGCTACCATTGCCCCAATTGTATTTTCGACTCGTTATCTTGGGAATGCGAAAAACAAATGGAAAAATGTTACTGATCCGCAAAAGATCCAGTCGTGAGAGGTTTTTCTTGTTCTTTTAAATTAGTTGTTTATTTATTCAAATATTTACGCATTCATCTATTTATTCATTAAGCAAACGGAAAGAACACTCTTTTCAAGCAAACCCATCTACTTTATTAAACAACTTGTAATATTCTTGATGAGGAGCGGTTCTAAAAGAAAGTTTAGCATTTCTCCTTACAAAAATTCCGAAAAGCTTACAACATAACTATATTGGTAATGTTACATCATCGCTATGTAACCTGATAAAATGCACCAGAAAGTTCTTTGGTATACATTTCCGCAAGACTAGACATTCTCGAAATTGCTAGAAACTTATAGTTTCAGTCATTTTCACAGCTTATTGTTACAAGTAATGACAGTGTTTAGTAAGAGGAAACATCGAATATGAAATAATCATGTAGCAAAGCAGAAAGTTAGCGCGCAATAGTCTAAGGATAAATATGTTCAATGAAAGCTACGCACTAAGTACTTTTTAAAGAAGGAAGTGTCGTGATCTCATGGTGTAAATTTCCGCCTCGTCTGTAGCAGACTGTGGTCTCATTCGCGGGGCAGTCATCAGCATAGTGAGCCATTATAAATTTAAATTTACAGATTGGTTTATCTCGATAAATTTTTCCTACAAATATGCGATCGCCTAGAAAATAATCTCATAATCATAAAGAAGATAGGTTACATTTACAGCTAGTTGAGTGCTTAAACAATATTGAAAAGAAAGACCTCTTTTTACCGGCAGCTCTTAAGTCAGATAGATCCTTACCGACCTATTGCTGTTAACTAAGTGATTTTACTAAGTAATTGACCGTCAATTTAAGTTAAGCGCGATTTCGATTCAAATTCAGCACGACTGCAATTCAACTGCCCATACATCCACAGCCTCACTTGGATTGACCTGTGAGCTCTTCGTTGTGGAGTTGTTCTTTACAGAGGATGGAAAAACGATATTCATCTTTCTTTTGAAACGCTCTCTGATCTGCAAATAGACGAGCAACACGAAATACGGTTTTTAGCACTAGTAGTTGGATATCTATCGAAACACTAAAGACTGATGATATGGAGTTAATAAACTTTTTCATGTTTTTCTTACCTGAGTGTTTTGCATGCTATGTAGAGCGAAAATTAGGAAACCCTGCAGCATAAAAATGATTTTAAGATCACTAATTTTTACAATATGCAAACAAATTAGTCAAATATATATTAGGATTTCCAGGAAGGAAAGAAAATTTCATATCTTATGATTAAAAAAGAAGCCTGTCTTTTTCTCATAATTAATAGCATTTTTGTTTTCAAAATTCCAAAAGATATCTTGTGACAATTGTGATGGTGTCTCACTTGGTTAGAATGTAAAAAAATGATAGAGATTGAATAATTTTGTGAGTTATCATCGAACACTGACCTGAGAAGAGTTAAGTATGGTGAAGATGTAAACGAAAACTTTATGTAAAGGCGAGAGGAGACCAAATAGCCACGTGACGCCCAGCAGGGGAATCATCACCACGCATGCTTTAATGCCAATTCTACGAATTAAAAAGAAAACATTTCTTTATTTTCCTTTGACAATGAATTTTCTGTTTTAGGTATCGTAAGACCTTACTAATTAGGAAATGAGGAAGTTAGGCGAATAGAGCCTTGCAGGAGGACAGGCCAACTTCTTTCACTATTTTGCTTTAGTTTTATGCTGTGAATCTTACCGTATTTGATGGGAATGGTCTTCTTCTCCTGTTGGCTGCAACAAATTGGTCATCTCCTTAATGACTCGTGCGAGTATCAAGATGTTGAGCTGAAAAGTACAATAGAAATATATGTATTATTTGGATATGGTTATCGAATAGCCAAAGCAGGAGAAGATCCTTGCCAAAGACGTTACTAGCTTGGTAACAAACGTGTGATGAAGTGTCATTTAAAGGGAATAGAACTCCCAACCAGGGGACCTAGATTATGAGCTTTGATTCTCTGAAAATGAGCAAAAGAAGTCGTGAACTAAAGTGTCTGAGCTGAATGATCTATGTAAAGTTAATCCTCATGTTAAATTACATAAATTTAATATCTCCTGCTCCTCCTGCTCCTTTAATCTTGTTCAGTGTTTTTAAGAGTTTTTTTTGCGCAAAAAACATATCTTGTTACATCAATGTGAAACAGTAAGAAAACATCAAGGAAGGGGAAGAATCTTTTTTCTCATACTATTTAGTTAAAGTTGGAGAATATATGAAGCTATCTTTTGCCTGTGAAGATATTGTGTCAACAAGTTTTACTCGCTATTGAAAGCCATCACTAGGTTAGAATTGACGAGCATCCTCCCAAATAGCAGTTACATCCAAATTTTTTTTGTGAGTAAATAGGAAAAGGAAATGATCAATATTGTGTGGGGTCATATCATAAATAATTAATTCGTTTTTTAAAGAGCAGAAAAAATCTTAAACAGCAAGTGGTTCAGGCATACCAATCACAATAATCATAAACTCACAACTTCAATGAAAGCCACAAAGGCGACGAATATCCAGATCAGGTTGTTAGTCGAGGAAAGCCAGCAGCTAAACTCGAAGAAGTGAAACACAAGAAAGAAACACGAATTCTCAGCAAATTAAATGATACCGACTTCAAACTGTATGCAAAAACAAAACAGAGAATCGTATGCAACAAATTAAAAGGAGAAGAGCAAGAAGAAACCCTTGAATTTTTCTTCTTACTGTTTATCACTCGTATAGCTTCGTAACCCTTCTTTTCCAGCAGCGATTCCAATTGACATGGCCACCATGATCACTGGAAGACCTACCCATAAAGAAAGGAAGGAAATGGAAACCCTTCACTGCATGACAACACCAGATTTGGCGATCCGAAAGCATGGTTACAGTTACCAGTGCATGTTTTAAAATAATAAACTCACCCCATGAGATGACGTGATACATGATCATCTTGGTGTTAATGTTGTAAACTTTTACAACGAAGAAGTAGAGATAAATTCCCTCGATCAGCATCCAACAGAAAGCAGCCATCAAGAAATACTGCATCAGAGCTGCTATTGTAACACAGGCAGCCTGTGGAAAGAAAGAGTTTTCGTATAATTCTTGTGGTGCTTCTTTCGACAAGATATTTACGGTGCAAAGAGGAAATTGATTCTATGGATAGAAGGAGTGACCACTGACTTTGTTTTCTGTGGCGTTTATTCCGGCTAGGAAGATGATCTGTCCAGCTCCAAGGGACATAGAAACACTCAGTCGAATTTGAGAGAGAGGTTGACGAACATCTCTGGTAAAATAATAGTAAAAACGCAAAGAATAAACGAGACAAAAGCAACAACAACAATAACAACAACACATTGAAGACACCAAGAACAACAAAACAAAACAAAATTGAGTTAAAAGACTCAGAAAAATATGGCTAAAAATTATTTACATCTTGACAGCAAAGAAAAGAAAAAAGTCAGTAAATAGCTTCAGAAAGGACAAAACAGGAAAATATTACGAATATGTCTAAGCCCTAAAGAATTCATTAACCGTGAAACCATGAGTTGCTTAAGCGTTTGTGATGAGGCATGAAATGTAGCTTGAATTTGTGAATTATCTGATATGCATATTCTTGTTTGCATGGAGATTTGCACTGAGATCTCTTTTCTCACCAGCCTTGTCGAAGGGAGTTAAGAATCTACCTAATTATTATTCAGGTACATTGCTTACGTGAGGCAAGAATAAAGTATTAATGTTAAAAGTATCCCGACGATGGAAAGGCTCAGTCCCACATAGGTGATAGTTTTCAGAATTGTTTCGTCCTCTTCGGTGAGCTGTGTCAAAAAAAGAAATATTAAGGAGAATATTGAGTTAGTTCATCGAGCCCATAAAATTATTCAGTAAGGCAAATATAATTTTATCACCATTGTGCTATCGTCGTAGTCCATTAAGACGGCAAAATGCGTCAAATGATTGCAGCTGCAAACTGTTTCTTCTGAGTTGCTTTTTGATGTAACTACATGACATCCTTCCTCTGAAAAGCTGTCAGACATGAAAAAAAAGTAAAGTTAACATAGGACACAAAATGATTCATTGTTTGAGGAAGACGATATGTTTCACAATTTTGCACTAAGGTTTTCTTCCATTGTCGTCTTGGTTGCGAGAACATTTCAATCAGACTTCCGCTCTCTGAAAGGACAACATGTTGGCTTCAAGGAAAGTGTTAATCTGCACAAAAACATCTGAGAAAGTTCATTCATTCTCCTCCATACTAAATTTAATTGAAGAAGGAATAAATATTATACAATAATATATTGCAGTTTTTTTACCTTTTGCTGATGTTACTCCAAAACATACAGCGCTTCTCCGCTTCCAAGACCTGAAAATAGATTTTATCTCGTCAGAATAAATCAAAGCAACGTATAGCAACAAATTGTCATGTTACCTTTAGGTTTTTGAACTTTAGGGTGACATTTTCTCTCAATGTTTCTGGCTTGGGGTCCATAGTTACGGCCATTATCCTGGAGTTGATATTCCTATGAAGAAATTGTATTTGAAAATGGACCAAAACCAAGGAAGCAACATTACGTCATTTTGGTAGATTCAAGGGGATTTTTTTATGAAGGTGGAATGGTCAGAGACAAGTAGGGAGTCTTCAAACCTTCGTTAGGGTTTTTGGAAAGTTTCTAAGTTCAGGTTAGTTGAACTTAGATCTTATGTGTTTCCGTGTTACGTGTTTTTGAAGGTAAACCACATGAAGTAATGCGAAAATAACGTCACCTTTGGTTGTCTGTTTTACTCCTGATGGCTTGATCTGTTAGGAGTAGGTCATGCAGATCCTTGTATACAAACGCAACTGCCAATGATCCTTTAAACCCCCCAAGAATCAGCAAAAAGTGTTATCAAACAAGAACAAAAATACTCACAAAATTCAAATTTTAGAGGTATGTGACATTAGAAGGAAGGCGAATGGTTAAAGAAGATAGACTATGTAAACTAAGGAAGCGCATTTATATGAGGCTTTATTTCAGTAGAGAAATTTCGATTGGAGAAACCAATACTAAAAGTTGTAAAGTTACCACAATAGTTAATACGAACCATTTTCCTCAAAATTTGAAGCAGCAATATCGATTCTCGCTTGCCATTGTTGTTCCTCAAAGTGGAAACCACTTTTATTCTGGCGATAGGCCTTTTGAATGGCCAACACTGTCGGACAAAAAATGACAAATGAAAGCACTTACGATGAAATTTACAAGAGCACATCTACACAAACATGTGTTTTGCGGTGCACTCAAATATTTCATAATCTTATTGGATGAATATTTATCGTCGGCATCTTATTTATTACGACTATTCGACGATTTCAACCATTTTACGACGTTTATTCAATGTAAAACTGATGAAAAAGTGAGTAGTTCTGGACGGACTGGTGTTGTCAAAACGCAATTCGTTCCTCGAACTATTTCGTTGGAGAACCGTAGAGTTCATTAGGGAGTTTTTAGGAGTACTGTTAAAAATCTTGCATTTATGTGCATCGCAGATGATAGGCCAATTTTTGAGTGGATAGTATGAAGTATGCGGAAAGTATTTGTAAGATTTGACAATTTCAGTTAGTAAAGTGTACTTACCAATCTATTATTTAAGAAAAGTTTCAGTAAACAAAGTGAGAAGAAGGGTTTCACAATTTGAAAGATTCTAGTTCGCTATTGTTGATTGTTCAAGAATACCTTGAATTTCTTTCTCCACCGCAAAAATCAAACTACCAAAGAAATTACAAGAACAGATGAATCGATGACATCGAACAATAACGTTTCTAATAGGTTGGGCTTATAACTGAGTCCTTACATCATCTAAGGAAATTTGAAAACGCATTCGGTCAGTCAGCAAGTCAGTAAGAAACAAAGGAATAGACCTTGAAACTAAACAGGATTGAAGGTCACAACCTTACCCATTTTTGGGGAAACGATCCTTTTTAAAGGCTTCCCTGCACTAAGGTGTCGCTTGCCATAGTTAAGAGCAAATTTCTCGACGGCCTCTGCCACCTCAAAGATGGATTTTTTCAGTGTTTTAACCTCTTCCATGCCGGCCTTGTCTTTTGAGACGTTCTTGATTTTTGCGATGAAATCTTCAAACACAGTTACAGCCTCCTACGATTACATAAAATATTTCCAGGTCCTTAACCAGCCCGGCAGTCTCAAATGTACAATTGATATTAGGAAAGCGAAAAAAGTCCTGCAGGAGGCCCCAAATCGTGTTCAGGGTATTCATTGGCTAACGAACTCTTTTAGGAGCCTGGGATATTTTTTAAGCCTCGTCATTTTCACCTCATATGGCTAGAATGATGGTTTTTCCTGTAAGGTCAGATATTTAGTTTTTATGGTTTAAAAACATATATCAAAGTTAAAAATCCTTTGAGTTGCAAAAACTAAATACCTTCATGGAAGTCCTATTGGTAATATTTATTCCGCCAAATTTTGAAACATACTCCTTTGCCTAAAATTAAAAAAAAAAATGACTGTCACATTTTCAAACAGAGAATACTCTGGAAAGCGACATGCGTAAAAAGGGTAAATGACTGTCAAGAAAACATACCAGCTGCTTAACTGGCGATGGCGATGGCGATTGCGACGGCGACGGCGACGGCGACGGCGACGGCGAAGGGGACGGCGGAGGCGAGGGCGAGGGCGAGGGCGAGGGCGAGGGCGAGGGCGAGGGCGAGGGCGAGGGCGAGGGCGAGGGCGAGGGCGAGGGCGAGGGCGAGGGCGAGGGCGAGGGCGAGGGCGAGGGCGAGGGCGAGGGCGAGGGCGAGGGCGAGGGCGAGGGCGAGGGCGAGGGCGAGGGCGAGGGCGAGGGCGAGGGCGAGGGCGATGGCGAGGGCGATGGCGGGCGAGGGCGAGGGCGAGGGCGAGGGCGAGGGGCGAGGGCGAGGGCGAGGGCGAGGGCGAGGGCGGCGGCGAGGGCGACGGCGAGGGCGAGGGCGAGGGCGAGGGCGAGGGCGAGGGCGAGGGCGAGGGCGAGGGCGAGGGCGAGGGCGATGGCGAAGGGCCTTGTCCAGTGGCTGGATCTGCTGAACAATTTCACAGAAGCAATTCAGAGGAATTCATATCATTAATCCAAAAAGTAATTTATTTATTTATTTATTCATTCATTTATTTATACCCGGTAAAAAATTCATCAGGAACAATAAATCCTAATACAATCACTAACATCCTAAAACCTAGAAATCTTAGTCCAAACATTATATTAACTTACAATATGTTATTAAAAAAAACCTGATTTCCATGAATGCCGTGTTTAAAATTTTCTACAGAGAAGGCGTTTAAATTGATTTAATGAACCAGACTCTCTAATGCTACAGGGCAAGCTGTTCCAAAGGGTTGCACCTCTGTAACTAAAACTATTTTTCATGTAATTAGTTCTGGAAAACGGGACAGGTTTGCTTACCGAGTCCCTCAGAGAACTGTTTGATTCATTTCGCTTTATAAATTTAGACGTGAGATATTAGGGAACCAGCCCGTTTAAAGACTTGAAAACCATTGAAGATCATCGAAGATATTAGCTCTACAGCTACACTGAATTTCGAGGTTAAATAAGGTATATGTATGTATGTATTAAGGCGTTCTGAATTTGACGTTGAGATTTCAAGTCTTTCCAGCTGAGTTTGTGAAACAAGGAATCGACATCTACGTCATAGTTTGATGAGGTTATTACTCGTGCAGCACGGTTTTGTAGTTTTTGTAGCTTGTAAGATAATGTTTTGCGACAATTACCCCAGAATGGGCTGCAGTAATCAAAGTGAGATTGAACTTTGGAGTTTTATATATTGAATAGGGTGGATTGAGGCACAAATGGCTTAACTCGCTTTATGCCTTCAATCGCATAAGCAATATTTTTATTCAGTTTATCAATGTGGGAATGCCACGTTGAATCTTCTTCGATGTATATTCCAAGTGATTTCACAGAGGAAACTTGTTTAATCGGAATATTATCGATGGAGAGTTCTAGTGTATCAGATAGAGTACTTGATCTTTGCCTGGAGCCGATCAACATAAATTCAGTTTTTGAAGCGTTTAAGGTAAGTCTGTCAGACACAAGCCATTTGCTCAGCTTTTCAAGGTCGTGAGATAGACTAGACTGAATCAAATGCAAATCAGAACCAGCATAAGTAATGTGGGTGTCATCAGCATACATTCTAGGTATGCTGAACGAAAGACAGTTAGACAAATCGTTAATATAAATTAGATACATCGCATATAAGAAAGGTGAAGTGAGAGAGACAACTGTTAACTGAGCACCGTTGTGTGCAATTTGTAAAATACAATTTACACAAATCAAGAGTTTCACCTTGAATTCCACACCGATTTTTTTTAGATAATAATATCTCATGATCAACAGTGTAGAATGCCTTTCTTTAAGTCGACAAACACTACGGCATTGACGTAGCCATGATCGATATTCAACGCCCAACTGTCAGTGCCTTCTAGAAGTGCAGTAACAGTTGAGTGGAGAGACTGGAAACCAAATTGTTTTAGAGATGATTTCTTCACTATTTAGGAAGTTGTATAACTGATCGTACACAATCCTCTCGAACACTTTGGCGACTACGGAAATGACTGAGGTAGGTCAGTATTTGTTTAAGTCAGATGACTCTCCCTGTTTAAACAACGGAGCCACTCTGGCACATTTCCAGTCGTCAGGAAATATGCCAGACATCAGGGATTTATTAAATAGATCGTATAACGGGCCTGGAATAATATCAGCACACTCACGAATCAACCTAGCAGAGATATTGTCTAGTCCTGTAGCTTTAGTTTTTGACCATCTATTTGGATGGGTAAAGACACTGGTAGTAGTTGGACGAAAACAAATTTTTTTGTAATTTTAAGTAATATTTTCTAAATTAATAGAATCCTCGTCCGAAGTTGAGGATATGTCATGGGCTAGCCTGGGCCCAATAGTTGAAAAGTGTTCGTTAAAAGGCGTTGGAAATCTCGTTAAAGTTACAGATAGATATGACACATACTTTGACATCCTTTACTATCTGATTGTTCTGACGACGAGACATGCAGTTGTTAATAGTTTTCCAAGTCCTTTGAGCATTTCCTTTGGATCGAATGAAACTAATGTGATAATAGGATGCCTTAGTGGTTTCCACTTTAGTGTTGATTCGATTTTGGAGCTTTCTGTAATCACCCCAGTCTTGAGGATTGTTTGTTTTTATCGCTTTCCTTTAAGCTTTCCAAATTTCTCTGTTCTGAGCAGCACTACTATTCAAGTTAAGCGCAATTTTGCACCTGAACCGGAAATAATGATTTGTTAGTAATTTTATCATTTAAAGAAATAATCATGTTTGCGTGTAGAATGATATGTTGCTCGCACTAATCATATCGCCGCATAGGGTATTTATTTCGCAGCAATCAGATTATCGTTGTTTTGGTATGTATCTCATACTAATTAGGTTGCCGCATAAGGGAATGTATCTCGCACCAATCACATCATAGCATTTGGATATCTTGCATCAATCACAGAGTTTGGGTATTCTTTCCTCGTAAATGATGTTATGGAATTAGGGTGCTGTGCTCAAAGAATGACAGAAACCAGAAATTTTGGACTCATTTGATAAGTGTAATGATGTGTGGCCTTCGAAAGAGCCTCGTCGATTGAGGTCGAGATTTATCGGGATATGAAAGGTTTGCATTCATCTTGTTGTATCATTTTTAAATTCAAAGGTGTTTTATCACTCGCCGAACAACTTACATCTATCACGCACTATGAAAAAAACGCTCAAACATTCCCAATCACTGAACTGCAATTTTTCACGTGCATGAATTGTATTCCATCAATCAGATTCCATCGCCAACGCGCTCTCTCTATAACGGGGAATAGAAGGCGTTGTGTATCGAGACCAAACAATAGCTGCAAAGAAGACAACGTTAAACGTGGCACCGATGCATTTTACTTTTGCCCAGAGGATTTTTAGACAGTACCTGTGTGAGTTCAGCTAAATTTTTGTTTTCTTTTACGGTGAAGTGATGCGATATTTTCTTTACTTTAAAAGTTATGCTCTTTTTCTGTTACAAAACTGAAAGTGTCCAATCTCAACCTTTCCAGCCAAAATAATAACTCTTGAATGCCACACATGCCTAGTTTATCTTTTCGGTGAGCAGAATATGAATTCAATTCCAACTCAATATTGACCGTTTTTTAAACAAGAAAATGTATCTATGCCCTCTCGTGACATTTAAGAATTGATGTAACCCTTATGAACCACGTTATAGAGTAATGGTTGCTAGGTCGATCAAAATGCCCGCCATATTCGAATTAGATGCAGGACGATCAGTTTATTACGCTCACTGCACATGTTGCATTGCATTGAAACTAGCCCCTACAACTTTACAGTCCAAACGATCGGATATTAAAATATAATACAATAGACACAAAATTGATTCCCCTACGCGAAGAACAAATAAGTCTCCAAGTTTTTTGTATTTATATTAAAGTTCACACGGCAACCAGGTGGACAATCAGACATAGTTTGATGTTACTCTGATTTACAAATTTAATGAATGTAACCGAAGTTACAGATGTTTTTATTACTATCACTATTGCGAGTAACAATAGTTATGAAACTTTCAATTATCAGTTGTTTTTCATGTAGCTAATATATCCCTTCATTTGAATAAAATGGTAGTGAATACCAATTGCAAAGAATCATCCGTCCAAGTACTTTGTTAGATGATAACGCGTGATGATGTTTAGTGCGTTATCTTCTGTGAAGAGCTAGTGACTCGTGTCGGTAAAGATACATGCCAATTATCTTTTTAGAGAACAAATACAAATAAAGACATAGTTTGATGTTACCTCTTGTTGCAGCATTTAGATCACCCCTGACAAAGGCACTAGACAGAAGTGTCGAAACGTTGGGTCTATGAATTGTAACTTCTTCGGTTACATTCATTAAATCTGTAAACCAGAGTAGCATCAAACTATGTCTTTTTTTGTATTTGTTCTCTAAAAAGATAATTGGCATGTATCTTTACCGACACGAATCACTAGCTCTTCACAGAAGATAACGCACTAAACATCATCACCCGTTATCATCTAACAAAGTAATTGGACTGATGATTCTTTGCAATTGGTATTCACTACCATTTTATTCAATTGAAGGGATATATTAACTACATGAAAAACAACTGATAATTGAAAGTTTCATGACTGTTGTTACTCGCAATGGTGATAGTAATAGAAGTATCTGTAACTTTCCCTTCCTCATAAGCTAAGGTTAAAAACTAGGCATTTATATCGTGAAAACGATCGTTGAGGTTGTTTCAAACATATTTTCATTCGTGCAAATGTAAGTGTAAACTTGATCCTGGCTGTCATAGGGTTTATATATCATGAGTATCACAGAAGTTAGAAAAGAATGTTTCTATTACACCTAAGCGTTTCAGTTACCTTTAAGTTCACTTAAAATAATAATAAATATAATGTTGATAATAATAATAATAATAATAATAATAATAACAAAAATTTAAAAAAGCAAAGCAAAACAAAAAAAGACTTACCCTTGGAGATTTCACAGATATAAGCGTGCAGGTCTCCCTGACCCCAGCGATTAAAACTACCAAACACGCCTCTTTCGTCGTTACTGTTCAGCTTGTACATGAAAGCCGCGTCGTGTTCACCAATTTGCTCCCCTTTTCCCCATTTGCAAATAGTCAGCGGTCTTTCACTCACCCAGGTCCAATTCCCGGCCTCTTTTCTTAAACCAATACTCCATCTATTGTCATAATTTGAAGTATTTCGCCTTTGAATCTCGTTATTGAGGAAATTCCATTCTTCTTCGGTTTCGATGGAAACTAGGTCCCCCCCTCGCCCTTGGCAGTTGTCTCTGTTCCGGTGCCAGGACCATCCATCCACCGAAATTATGTACGAAGAGTTTTTAAAAGTTATATTTGGGCATTCTACAAAAGGATGAAGATGAAAACCAAAGTAATAATTATCATAATGACGATAAACAATCTGATAACTATAATAATTACGATAACATAAAAAGAATATAATCACAATCATGATAAAAGAGAAAAATAAATGAGATAGGAAACGTAACTTCCTCTCTGTTTGATTCCTAATTTTAATATTATGTTTGATCAATGTCAATGAATAGTATACATCTTTTTTCACTACGGCGTCCGCAATCCCTGACCCGCTTTTCTGAATTAGATAACTTCACTTCAGCAAGGATTTTCCATGAGTTCATGTAATCTTGGTAGTTAGGTTTTTGAATAATAAATTAGTTCCTGGTTGAGCTGACACCTCCCCCACCCTGCCCCCTATTCTTCCTCCCCCATCTAATCAGACTTTGAAAAAACGTAAAATTAAATGTGAGTGTAAGTTCTCATAATATGCAATTGGAGATATGCAGTTAACCGTATACAGTTGTTATGGGAAAGGTTGTTGGCTAGATTATCCCAACTGCAGCGCGCTCGATAAAAGTTGTGAAATGTACAATGAATTAGTTGCTAGTTACCGGATCCCTCTGCTGTGCGCAAAGGGTTCTGGGATCGCCACAGGGCCGATAAGGCAAATTACTACATAGAAATATATAGTGAAACGTTGTCTCGACGTCCAAAAAACGATTTTTGCAGCCATTTTAATTGGAAGTGTAAGTCTTCTTTCAAATAACCATGAAATATGTGTTCAGATCTACCAATAAAGTTCTCTCCTTGCGTAAGGTTTGTTGT